ACCTTAGACACCAGTTAAACACAAAAACCACTCAAAACTAGATCCTCCCACTACATGTGTCTGTAAAGAGTATACTAATAAAAGACATATAGTGGGCCAAGATCCATATTTCGCTAGGTACAAGTGAGCTTTGGCATCACCTCTTGAACCTAGCTATTTAGGTAAGCAACTCCTTGCTAATTTCATCTTATGTAATTCTTGGTTGTCGAGTGACATCTCATGCCTCCCAACACTATGCCTCAAGGCCCAAAATCATCTTATGTAATTCTTGGTTGTCGAGTGACATCTCATGCCTCCCAACACTATGCCTCAAGGCCCAAAACCGTTTTGATAGCCTTGTTAAGTTAAACCTCTTTCTCTTAACCTTAGTGTCCGACACAAATTCCATTCATATTAAGATGGCTAATGGTGACTTGCTTTGGCAAGCCCACCATATAACAATCAAAATCTTGATGGTTATGAAATTGGAAAGGCATCAAGTAACTTAATTTTTCTTTAGGGACTTCCATAATTAATTCTAATAACAAATTATGCAGGAAATAGTATAGATATCATGAGCATAATTAAATGCAAAAGACAAAGTGAAAAAGAATGTCTTTGATTAGTAACTACCCACAACAAGATTTCTCTTGGCAATGTCTATCATTATAATCTTTCATGCTTCTTAATTAAGCTATTACAATAATAACTGAGTTCTATGCATAACAGATCATCAAAATAGAAGGATGGGCATATAATTTACATCAATAAGCCTGCAAATAAGGTTAATCACAGAATCTAAATCTATTCATGATGGCTTATGCATTGGATCTATTCATAATCAAATATATATCAATTGTTTTAAACAAATACATATATATCACATATATATAGAGTATCTAGACCTAAATCTACATAGGAGGCTCTGATACCACTGTTGGAAAGTAGGCAGACTAATATGCAGTAAAAACAAAATTTTTAACCACATACATCCTAAGATCCATACGTAGAAGAAGATCCAAGATAGAAAATTACCTGAAGCGTGCAGATAAACAACGAAAACTTGCGTACTCGTTGAGATGTTGCGCGGCAATTGAAGCGACGCCTCTACTAGTATCCACACGAACTTGTTGGAACTCCGTGCGTCAGTGTGCTAGAACTTTGAAGACGGTGGCCTTTGGAGTTTCTCTCTCTCCCTCACGATTTCAGAAGCATGGTGGGATGATCAAAAAGAAGGTCCATCTCATGCCCCTTTTTATAGGACTGTGAGGTAGTTTCTCAAACCGTAAAGAGATCGGTATTCCAATCAGATGGTTTCTCAAAATATAATTTGTTCAAATCAAATCATATCTTTAAACCGTGATTGATCATATCAATTTGATTGCTAGGAGATAGGTTCATTGAACTTGGTCAGTATTTCTTTCAAACGTGATTAATCAAATCAATCCTTATCCAATTACCCGATAGCCTCACAACTAATCATATCTCTATATGACTAATGATTAATCAAATCAATCCTTATCCAATTACCCGATAGCCTCACAACTAATCATATCTCTATATGACTACATTTATGCGAGCTTTTCTTAATAATGTTCCAACATGTTCTTGTGTGAGACCCAATAGGTTTACACGATATTGGCAGTGAGCCAAAATACTTTTTCGGCCCACAAGTCATAAGTGGACCCTAGCAGGACATTATGACTACCCAAATCATGTAAAGGTCATCTCAGACGAAACCTAGTCCACAATGGACATATGTCGGTCTCTTCATCACTAGATATCTTGATTGAACTCAAGGCAAGAAGCGTGTCAACCTTATACAGTTCAACCTTTAATTTCTCGCAGTTGAAGTTAGACTGACTTCTCAATAGTTGACTCTCAACTAATTAGGCATGACCATGCACTGTCTCAGTCTATCTTCTTCGAGGGGCCCAGAGATATCATACTCTCATTTATATGAGAGGGACAAATTCCATCTTGACCATTCACATCTCTCTGCATGATTTATAGCATACCCGATTGATACCTTTATTATTATCCGTTTAGGGAAAATGTTTGGTAACATCAAAGTATACAATCATCATGTAGGAAACCGTGATAATCTCAGGTCAAATGACAGAACATAACCATTGTATGAAACCTACTGATGACACATATAATCCATGCAGTGTTTCATAGCGGGTCAGTCCAATATCATGTTCATTAACATATGTCCATGTGATTGACTTGATATCTCATATCCATGATCCGTGAAACATGATCATCAATCAATCCACACACTGCCTATAAAATCATTAGTGTGCCAACCAATGACAAAAGACAAGGACTATTTAGAATAACATCATAATCTAATTACAGAGTTTCACGTTCAAGTCACATACTTAATGATCCATAATAAGTGATTTATTCAAGGGACCGAATAGCAGATTATTCATAGAAGTTACATAAACATAAATTAAACACAATCATCTCTATGATTGGTCTCTAGGGCATATCATACTAACAATAGCCCACAAGGAATTCTTTAGGGAGTTGGTCGTAAGTTCAACCAGGACGCTCAGAGCTAGACATCTCGTATGAAGAAGGATGAAAGGCCCCAAGATGAGCGCTAAACTGTTGATGTCAGTTATCTAGCAGCAGGTTTATTTGTAGATTAAAGTAGAGTTAGGGTCCTCAAACCCATTCAGATGACTGACTTTGTAGATTGCTATTCTTCCCTGCTCATGAAGAACTTGTAGGAGGCCAGAGTTGGGATCTCCGGTTGCTCCTCTGACGATCAAGTCAGTATATGAACTTGAGTGGAAAATTGTGAGATGAAGAAAATCTCAAAGTTGTGTGAAAGACCCTGAAAGTTACCTTGACATGTAAGGCTTCCTTTTATATAGGATCAGAAGGGCAGATATGTAACTTGAACCGAGTCCAGGGAGACAGGTGACTTAGCAGATAGCTGACATGTGTTGGCTGCTGGAGAGGATAGGTCATCCAGATGGTTAGTGCCAAGCGACAACAGCCGCTTGGTGCTGACGGAGCCTGATAAGTCATAAAGACTTTTAGGGCTGGAGTAATGATGATTTTTGACCCTGCATTTAACGTGATGGTGATTGGCTGTTGATTGGAGACTTGAGGAAGACCGCCTTTCTACTCGGCCTGGTGAGAAGGGACGACTCCTTGTGAGAAGGGCGAGAAGTACCGCCTCTTCAGGTTTCCGGTGGAGGGCCAACTAACACTGTTTTTTTACTCGGCTACGTAATTTGCTAGCTGAGATAGTGGGCTGAGTGTGGAGACTTGTGGTCTCGATCTGATAGGTAGGTCTACAAATACCGGCTTTCAAGTCGGCCGTGTAAGTTGTCAATTTATAGAGTGGACTGCAGTAGCGGTTCGAGTCGTGTGTGCTCTAATCATGTCTAATCTGGCATGGACTAGGATGCGTGTCGACAACTCAAAAAAGATTAACGCTAATTATTTGTAGGCTATAACACTTTTGATTAACTATATAAGTACGTAGACAAAAAATTATTTTATTTTTTCACAGAAAATTAAAAAAAATTCACAATAAGAAAATCGACCAAAAATAAGTAATCATAATATTTAACCTTGCGCAAGTATGTGCTTTTAACCTAGTATATTCAAAAGAATAAGTTGTCTTGAATTGAATTTCCTTCCCACATCTTCATAATTGACAGTATTACAACTTTTTCATTAAAAAAAAGAAAAGAATTACAACTTTTACAGTCACCAATGGCTTTATTCTTTAAAAATATGTTCATATTTTTTTTTCATTGTAATTAACCATGGCTTCATTATAGCAAGGGTTCTTTTGTCATTTATCATAACAACGCATTACACAGAGTCAACCTTTAGAAATAGGGGGAGAAAAAAGAAAAATTTAGGATAGGAGATCTAAAGCCATCACTTATGTAATTTTTGCATGTAGACCTCTAAATCAAAATTTTTACTCTTTTAGTCTTATGCAGTATGTTGCCAAAAGACAATTTTCTCTTTTTTTGGCTGTAAAAAAGTTCAAAAATGTTCACTGAAGAGATCTATCAATTTTTTTGGTTTCCTCACTTGCTTTGACCCAATGGTTTTTTATCTGCTCGGGATTCAAACACGGGACTAACCTCTTATGGTACATCCCCAACAGGAGCGCAACAGAGCGTTACACCATTACGTCATCCCTGTGGATTAGAGATCTATCCATAAACATACCATTAAATGGTAAATTCAAAACTACAATGTTAAAGGGACAAATTTTCAAAACCAACCGTTTTAGGAATTTAATTGCAAAAAACGACCGCTTTCGATAATAATTGCAAAAACCGACCTGTTTTCAGCCCAGCGCTGAAAACAGGTCGGTTTTTGTAAAAAATTCTCCGAAACATCACGGGAGTTCAACTCCCGTGAAGTTTATTGAGAAATTAAACTTCACGGGAGTTGAACTCCCGTGAAGTTTAATTTCCACTTAAAACTCCACGGGAGTTGAACTCCCGTGGAGTTACAGTCAACCATTCCAGAGAATCGAGTCTCTGGCAAATTGTGACTGCAACTTCACGGGATTTCAACTCCCGTGAAGTTGGCACAGTCCACATTCCTGCCACGCACAGCACCTCGCACCACCCTCCCCCTCTGGAAATCTTGGCCTGAGCAACTTCACGGGAGTTGAAATCCGTCGAAGTTGCAGGTCCACCCGCGAAAACCCCCAGCTCGCCCCGCCGCTGGCTCGCTGCCGGTTTTGTTACTTTAACATAGATATCATATATATGCCATCTCTATACCTCTAACCACACCACCCACCCCCCCCAACCCCCACAATATAGTACACATGCTTCAACGCATGCAATATATCACTGCATATATCATCGTGCCAACTTACTTTGCAAACAACTAATACTACATGGTTCAACCATCGAATTAACACAACGATTATGTATACTGAACATAATTTAGCTCTTCAACCAAGTTTACTGTATTTGAAAATTCCCAGGAAAGTTACAAAATTTACTCACAATAAGTTCAAATCACCCAATATAGCTCCTCCCTTCGCCTCCTCCCTCTCCTTGCCCGCTCTCCCCCTGCTCTTCCCCGCCCCCCCCTCGGGTTCCCCCTCGCTTGAAGAGCACCGCAACTATCCGCCCTGACCGTATCCCGGGCGTGTATGAAGCTGCGAGTGCCGGCTCGCATCGCATGCGCAAGTAGACGGCATAAAAATCGGCATGCGAAGTGCCGGCTCCATCGGCATGCGAAGTGCCGGCGTCATCATCACGCGGCCGTCGACGTCGAGCGTACGCCCGTCCAAATGAGCGAGACCTGTCCTCACGGCCTGCGAACTCGTCGACGTGAGTCTTATGGAACACCTGCGCTATGCTCTTCTTGATCCTGCTGAGGAGACCTAACGCCACCTGATCCTGAATCTCAGTCACGTGCGCATCAATATCAGCATCAATGCTATCTAAAACACGGACCTGCGTGGTAAACAATTTATTAAGTATCAACTCAATAAAAAATATTATAATTTAGCTTAGAAACTTACGTAATCTCTCTCGTTCATCCCACTAGGGATGTAACTATCTGTCGGTGGGCGTGGCATGTGTCCAGCTAAAGGCTGTGGGTCACGCGTGATCCATCTACGTGTGATACCCCAATACCAACGCATATACGTGGTATAGTCAACAGCTGTGGGCCTCGTATCCTGTATGCAATCCCACCTCTGAACCCACCTGCCTATGTAGTCCGCACGGACTACGGCCCAGTCAGTCCGGTGCGATGTAGGGCGCCGCCGACGATTGATCTGCTCGACAGGATCTGGAATATGCTGAGAGAGTGTAAACTGTCGTAGCACACGGTCCGGTACATGCATCTCTACGATCTCCTAACAGATCAATGGAACTCTGGCTCTCCACAAGTCGGGATTATCTCGGCAGATAGGTGCAAGAGAATGTATATCGAGCTCCGGCGGTGTATAGGGTCTCCACTTGAACTGAAATAAAATAAAACATTTATCAGTATAATACAGAAAAACTATCTTCTTGAGTTTTATATTTACCTGTTCGTGCTGGAGGCCATCAAGCTCATTTCGGTAAAACTGACGGTGACGCGTCACTGATTTGTACTGAGCGTATCGCACGTTATACCTATATGCAGAATAGCGAATATATAAGTACAAATATTCATGTTACAAATGAAATATGTGTGTGTACAATTATACCTGTATGCCAACGGATACTGACCCTCTAAGTCACGGTGCATAAGTAAAGTGGGTCGTCCAATATGAATGCGCTCCCATGACCAAATCTGTATCAACGTACAGCATCCCTTGAATTCTTTATTCTGCATCAGAGATACTCTACTCAATTCTTGATATAAATATGCCAACACCGCACTGTCCCACGATAGTGCGCCGCATATACCAAAATCCTCCAGCAGTGGCAGCCATCGTGCATGTACGAGAGTCTTGCTCGCATCAGGAAATAGTACGCACCCTATCATGTGCAATATGTATGCACGAGCATGAAACTGGAGCGTCTCATCAGAGGCATCCTCTGGTATGTCGCCCTGAAATGTCTGACGAAGCCACGATAGCTTCATCGCACCACTCCTCAAGTCGGGAACCTGTCCAAGTAGCCGGGCACATCCCTCCGGCCAACTATGATCGTCGGTGCCCGTAACTACCGGTCCATCAATCCGGAGCCCAAGTATGACGGCCACGTCCTGTAAAGTGATCGTGCACTCCCCTATATGCATGTGAAAGGTGTTGGTCTCTGGCCTCCACCTCTCAATCAAAGCAGTGATAAGCGGCCAATCAAGCCTGATATAACGAATCGTCGAACACGGTCGAAAACCTACCTGAGCGATCAAAGCTAGTACCCTCTCATCCTCTATGACCCAAGCCGAATGACTATGGGAATGCTCGATCATCGTGAACTCTGGTATGGGCTGCACATAAAACGAGAATCAGTTTTAAGTATATTCATTAAAAAACTACATTAATCGAAGAAATATATATATCTAATTTATTCGTATTACCTCTCCCGAACCAATATGGTCTGAACAATGACTCGCCTGAAGGTACAAAACGTCGGGATTCTCCGGTCCCGGATCCATAATGAATAGACCTGTGATTAAAATATGAGCATATATACAAAGTGCAATGAACACAGTATCATACATAGCATATTACAAATTGGTTCGGACATAGTGCAAAACGCTACATAATACAAATGCATGGGTGAAATGAACGGAGTTGCATACAGAACATATTACAAATAACGAGTATCATACGCTTCAAAGATAACAACTACGAATGACATAGTGCAAAACGCTACATAATACAAATCAACGCCTAATACTAACTGGACACCTATTTTTGTTGTGACCCGGTTGATCACATCTACTGCACTTATTTCTCCTCCTAGCTCCTTCACGCCCGTCATCCATACTATTTCTAATACGCACGGAACGAGGGCGCCCCGCCGATCTTTTATACAATGGTGGTAATATCCGTGGCCCATCTTGTGTCCAATGTCGACTATCGTATGGTGGACGAAAACACTCTTTGTAGGTTTGTTGATAGTTGTATGCAGAATACCAAGCGTCGACAAATTCATAATGTGAAATGCGAGCACCACCCTGTAGGTCGGAGCAAGCTGCTACAACATGTGAACAAGGAATCAATTGTAGTTGCGGTACATTGCAAGTGCACGTACAAGTGTGATCCACCAACATATTGACTTTGTAAGAGCGATTTTCTCTATGGGTTATTCCCTCGAGCACCTCCCATTCATTAAAACTGTATCGTACAACCTGAAAGGACCGAGCTTGTACAATCCGAGCCGCTAGCATTTCATCAACCTTCGGTGTTATCTGGGAGCGCATATTTTCACTAAGTTCTCGACGTCGAACAAAGAATTTATTAAGCCTGTAAAAAGTTTTAGCAACTAGTGCCTGTATTGGCATGCCGCGTGCTCCCCTGAGCACGCCATTGAAGCTCTCAGACGCGTTCGTAGTCATCATACAGAACCGTCAACCGCCATCCTCACATAAAGCCCACTTATCAACATTGTTTGGACCCAAACTAGTTTCGATCCAATCATGTGCGGCTCGTGAAGTGAACTTGATCCTCTCTCGTATTTGTTCATAAACATATTTTTCTGTTGCACAACCGGCTTACCAAAGTAAGTCTTGAACCTGAGCGTTTCCATACTTCTTCTTGAAGTTGTCTCTAATATGTCGCAAGCAATAGCGATGTGCATGTGGTGATGGGAAATGTTGTTGGAGTGCTCTTGGAATTCCTTTCATCCTATCGGATATGAATGTAATCGACCGCGTCCCCACACTAGGGATATGATATCTAATGCATGCAAAAAACCAAGCCCAATTCTCTGTATTTTCAACATCAACCACTGCGAATGCTAAAGGAAACAACCCGCCATCCGCGTCAACTCCGGTTGCAGAGACCTGTCCTCACGGCCTGCGAACTCGTCGACGTGAGTCTTATGGAACACCTGCGCTATGCTCTTATTGATCCTGTTGAGGAGACCTAACGCCACCTGATCCTGAATCTCAGTCACGTGTGCATCAATATCAGCATCAATGCTATCTAAAACACGGACCTGCGTGGTAAACAATTTATTAAGTATCAACTCAATAAAAAATGTTATAATTTAGCTTAGATCTCATACGAATTATCCCAATCCCCGAATATTTTTATCATCGCCTTCCTCCTAGCATTCCAACACTTGTGATATGATACATCCAAGTTGGTGGCTTTATGCACTAAAAGACGGATATCTTTCGGCCTTAGATCAAGATCCTCCCTCAGATGCGGTAAAATCAATCGATATATAAAAGAAGAGGACGCATTCTTGTTATTCATCTCTAATCGAGGATTGCTACAAGTGTGGAGTCCATTGTATGCCGTGATTTTGAATTGCCCACCTACTCTTGCACCCGAGCGTGAATTAAGCTTCCACGGACACCTAGCATTGCCGTCGTGGTGTCCACTATTATCTTCGACATCGTCATCTTTGCGATAGAAATAAACCACATTATAGCTTGTAGTATTATTTTTGGTAGGCCTGAACTTCACATTTTTTGCAATGGAATACGTGCGAATAGCATGGATCAATTTCTCCTTACTCTCGTAAAGATCTCCCTTGATGAATGAGAAGTCCTCGGCCTGTGTATCAACACCGCTATTAGTGCCAATAGGAACACTTTCCATCGCGGAGTTATCAATCCATTCATCTCCTTGAAGTTCATCGGGCGGCGGATCCTCTAAGCCGACATACTCATTATTAACATAAGCCCCGTCGATGTGTTGGTTTTCCCCGTCATCACGATCTATCAAGGTCCTATTAATTTGTAATCCCTCCTCTTCATCATCATTCTCGGATTCAACACTTGCATTATCTTCTTGAATTCCCGTGTTAGTATCGAAAGCATTCGAAGTGCCCACGAACGAAGGACCGCTCATGTATTGTGATTGTGTCCAACATTCATCTTGTTGAGGAGATAAAAAGCCTACAGAATCAACTTCAGGATCCTCCAACATGCGGGAATACATTCCTTCGTAGTTCAACGATTTGCCCAAATCTCTCTGATGTTTTTCAATGAACAATTCGACCGAACGCTTCTCGTCGTGTAAGACATGAATGAGACCCATATCGTAGTCCGAAGATATTTGAATGCCACTTGTTCTGTTCCCCACAACAGGATAATTGCAAACCACACTGAGGTGATACTCACGTGAGTTAGTTAATGTAAGTTTGTGTAATTCATTAACCAACTCATCGAAAGTACACGATTTTGTTATGAACAACGGTCTCGTCGTTCCTCCTTCATAAACGGGCATATTATTCTCGAGGTAATTAATCTTCCCATCATAAGAACAGAGAATTACAATTCGATCGTTCATCGTTACCTCTGAAGAGTGAAAAATTCAATATCAATATTACACGAAAAGCCAAATAAATATTGATTGTTACTAATTTTTACATTTAGGTAGTAACTCTAATTTCCACATTAATTGATAATTTCACCTCTAAATACGCAAAATTATTTAATACGTCTTCACAAAATTCGTAAATAATTCACAATTAAATTCTAAAATCTAATTTATATCATACATATGCAAAAATCTAAAATCTAATTTTTCTTCACAAAATCTAAATAATTCACAATTAAATTCTAAACTCTAAATACAATAATTTTCGAAATTATTGATAATTTCCCCTCTAATTTCACAAAATTATTGATAAATTACACACTAATTCTTCACAAATTTCACAAAAATTATTGATAATTTCCCCATTGATAATTTTCCCTCTATTTTTCACATTTATTGATAATTTTCCCTCTAATTTTCACATTTATTGATAATTTCCCATCTACTTTTCACATTTCTTCATAAAATTCATAAACAATTCATAATTAAATTTTAAAATCTAGATTCTGGGGGGGGGGGGGGGTCACGCGCGCTTAAATAGGTGGCAGCAAACTCCACGGGAGTTCAACTCCCGTGGAGTTGCAGTGCCAATTTTCCAGAGACTCGATCTCTGGAAAATTGGCACTGCAACTTCACGGGAGTTGAACTCCCGTGAAGCTGCAGTCACAATTTCCAGAGATCGAGTCTCTGGATTTGTTGACTGCAACTCCACGGGAGTTGAACTCCCGTGGAGTTTTAAGCACAAATTAAGCTTCACGGGAGTTCAACTCCCGTGAAGTTTAATTTCTCCATAAACTTCACGGGAGTTGAACTCCCGTGATGTTTCAGAGAATTTTTTACAAAAACCGACCTGTTTTCAGCGCTGGGCTGAAAACAGGTCGGTTTTTGCAATTATTATCGAAAGCGGTCGTTTTTTGCAATTAAATTCCTAAAACGGTTGGTTTTGAAAATTTGTCCAATGTTAAAGGGATCTATCCACGATTAACCAAAAAAATCAAGGAAGCAGTTGGTAGGTGCGTGTAGTTAACCCTATTAATAGTAACAACTAACAAATCATAAATTTAGGTTGTTTCTTTTGATATTAGGCCCCCATATCTTATATTTTGCAATTAGAGCCCTAAATATTGATATTTCAAATCAATGTCCCAAATCTTAACTGTTTTGAGATTTGTCCCAAAATCTTCATATTTAAATTAGTCTCCCCAGTATTTAAGCATTCTGAAATTAGTCCCCTTAATCTTATGGGAATCAGCTGCTAACTAGAATGACTAACATTTAAAATATTTGGGGACTAATTTCATAATATGAAAGCTTCGGAAACCGATGCCAAAGCACACAAATATGTGGGAGACTAATTTCAAGATAGCAGGATATGAGGGGCTCTTTCAGAATATGAAATGGGGGACTAATATTGAAAAAACCCAATAAGATTTTCTGAAAAAGCAAACTAAAGAAGTTTTCGAGAGAGTAAAAGAGGTAAGAGGAGACTTGGATGAGTTTGGCTTTGACTAGCTCTTCTTCAGTACGTAAGCTTGCCCCTTCCTTCTATGAATAAAATTATTATATTTATTTATATTATCACCATTATTCATTATTTTCTCCAGTTGTCGCATGTTGAATCCAAATAGACCCATCTCTTTTCTCGCTTCCATAATCTCTCTTAATCCCTGCCGTCGCCACTGGAAGCAAAAAGATCAGTTCTTGATAGATCCATCTGTGTATTGATCCCCTATTCTCTCCATTTGCCATCCAAAGGTGAGATTTTTCTAATTCTTTCTTAGTTACTCAATTTCTGATCAGGGTTTTCTTTATTTTTAATTATTATTTGATTTTGCTGATCTGGGTATGTCCTATATGCTGATGATTTTGGTTCTAGTTGTTTTCAGGGCTTTGTTTATGGATTGGAGTTGTTTGTTGTAATTCCGACGGAGTTCTTCTTCTACTACTAACAAGCAAGAAGCTGATATAGTTCAATAGGGTTAGATTAATAAAATGGGGGGTATTTGCTCAAGAGCAGTAGCTGTAGATAAATCCCCTAGTGATATTACTCTTAACATCAATGGTGTCAGAGGTCATGATCTCATGGAGCCACCAGCTGAAGAAACAATGGTGGAGTTTAGAGAAGGTGGTGCCTTCTCATTTTCGGACCCGTGTGTTCCGAAGCCGAAGAAACCTCAGTTGTCAAGGGTTCATTCGGAGAGATCAACTAAAACTAAGCAAACCACCAAGGCAAGTGTTGATGTTTTTGGTTTTATTATTGTTATGCAGGAGGATTTTATCAGAATGACATGGAATACAATGAGTTCTCATGCTTGTTTGGCGTCTGGTTATGAAGCTATTGACTGATGATTCTTATTATGTGTTTTGTTTCTAAGTTTAAACTAAAACATATATGTAAGTTCCATTAGGAAGATTTACTTAGTTACATATAAATGCTCTAGAAGTGGAATCATCAACATCGATGAAGCTGTGAATTGTGAAAAATTTGAGAAGAGATCTTAATTTAGTTCAATGTATATGTAAGATATGACCTTCATTAGTTTTGTAGTTTGTCCTTGTTCAAATTTGCTGCAAAGTTGCATTGCATGTTTCTGTTGCAGCTCGGAACCATGAACCCCAGCGTGCTTGATTGATCACGTCAATTTTGTATCTTAAAGCTTACTCATGAT